TTAATAAGAATGATCTGAATCGTGCACATTTTTTATCAGATTAAAAATATCTCATTCTAATAAAAATATGTATTTACAATAAAATCCGTTCCCTAATAATCAGTTTCGATTCGGATGCTTCTATACGATGTACATTTTTTTTACAAGATTCAATTTGAAATAAACAAAAATTACAATGAATTATAAATCATTTTTTATGAGTCACGGTGCCCTTAGGGCACTGCGCTGGTATATATTACGTAGAACTTATACTGTATAGTAATTGGGTATACCGTTTCAGCGATATTTGAGCATTAACCTTGTTACTGGTTAACCGATATAGCGGTATAATGCTATGTCCTACGTGAACGCTGGCAAAACAGCTTGTATTTCGTCGCGACAAACAGCATGGTTAGAATAGAATTCGCTGGCACTCACCGTAGGACATGGCGTAAGACGGTAAACCGAAAAAACCGTCAACCCCACTTGGTAAATACTATTTCGAGTAAACACTATAGACTCCATATTTTCCGAAAATATTAATCAAAAGAGTTGTTTTCTTTGAAAATAAGTAAATACATGCTTTTCTTGCTTACTCCTTAGTTCTCGAACAACTCGTCAGTAAAAAAAAAACCAAAAATACCTGATATTTAAAATTATGAAAGTTATAATATAATGGATAGTTTAAATCTATTTTATTCACCGTAAACATTTTCTGCGACTCTGCGAGCGCTTAACGCATCAGCTATTATATTTATGATTACGATTTTTTGGGTACCGTCAGTCCACTAATTTTGGTATGGTTCGATGTCGAAATATTGAATTCAGGGCGCTAGGTTGACGGACTTCAGCCCAGCATCCGGAAATTAAGACACACATTTGTGGTTTAGGGCTTATGCTACAAATTCTGATTTTGCGGTTTTAAATTATTACAAATAGTTTGGTAATATTCTAGCATGGTTTGACTTCAAAATTTTAATTTCAGGGTTACACGGACCACGACTGAACGGTAAATATTTATAGTTCTCTAGTGGTGGTGGTACATGGGTAACCCAGAGGCCAGAATTAAAAAAAAAAAAATACAATTTCAAACAGAATGAAACAAAAATCATTGCTTACCATTCAGCGTATACTGATAAAATTAATACTCTTTTACGTATACTCATTTGTTTACAAACATAGTTATGGGTATTATACGCCGTAAACTCGAGTGCATAATACGCTCCAATACACCTCTGCCAATAATGTCATATTAATGCGATACCATATTGTATGGGTAATTTGAGCTACAGGTGGTTCGCCCGTATTTATCTAATGTCATCAGGTGGGTTATATAAATATTATCATAAGAGTATTATTAAGTTTTTACTTTTTAGTAGTTTTCTGGTTACAGAACTATTCGCTAGGTATTATATCATAAGTATTATTATATTATTATTCTAAGTGGTGTAGTTTAGTCTATAATCGTTATTTTATCTAGTTTTTTTTTTACAGTAACTATAAGAATGAGGGTAAGATTATGTATTATTATGCTTACCTTTGATTTTTCTCGAAATGTCTTAAGTTTTTCAAACTCGTATAAGTCTCCTTCCGGGTACTTGAACGAGAAGTTATCGAAAAAAGGGTGTCGTAACAGTTGGTCACATGTCCATCGTCTCAATGGGTCTTTTTCTAGGCACATCTAATTAAAAAACAACATAAAGATTAGCTTGAAACTAGCTGTTCGTCAACAATGATATTTTCTAAAATATGTATGATAAACATTTTTTTTACAATGTTAGACAATTTACGTTAATGCAAGAGAAATGACGAGGCAATGGGTATAAAGTGATGATAGTTATAAAACCACAGACCTCATGAATAACAAAATGTGTTCATAAATATTTACTGTCCTCATAATTTAAATGAGTTTAATTCACAACAAGTTACCTACAAAAATAATTTATTTTTATCACTTTTCGTTGTATATATAGGTACCTCGGTGGCTCCGTTAGCTCAAAACGTCGACGCATTGCCGGCTCTACGATAATTACAAGTCCTGTGGAAAATTATAAATGCGAGTTCTTTTTTTCGTATGATTGTGGGTCGTGGCCCATTATTTTTTATTCGTAACTTTACATTTTTGTCCAATTTCATCTTGATTTATTTTGTGGTAAGACTTACACTACACATTCGCGTTACTTTCTCAATTATTTAATGTATTGTACAAATTGTCGTCTTTAAATATTCATTATGTTATTCATGATCACAACAAGATTTTAATGATATTTCACAAGATTTTAAATTGCATAACTCTTAAAGTATAATAAGGCTCCCTCAGCTATCCCATCAAAATAAAATATCTGGAAGTTATGTTCGGCATTGTCATTCGAATCATCATAACATTTATGGCCAACTTTTATTCTCACCATACACGTTGCCCTCTTTATTCAAATCTGTATTATATTTGTTCGATATACGCATTTATAAAACTATACAGTATACACTATTTATTTAAAATTCTTATTCTGGAGTGAATTAATTAGGTACCCTATGTAGTATACCTATAAGAAGTCTAAAATAAATATTTGTTTTTTTTTCTTTCCAACACCTACCAATAGTATTAATCAAAGGTACTTGTTGAAATGAAAATACAAATATTAAATTATATTAAATTATAATTAATATTATATTAGTATTAATAGTTTATAAATTGTTCATTAAACAAGCGAACAATAATATTATTATTATAAAATAATAAGTAAAAAATAAAATAAATACACATGCCTATTGGCTTATCGCTAATAAATAATATTACTATTTAAATTTGTCCAAAAGATATAAATGGGTAATTTAAATTGTATTTCATAATTATTGCTGTCTCACGAACGACACCCATAGCGACCTATGGCGCTACATGGAAACAATAGGCAACTCTTCGTTATTATTGTAGTATTTATATAAATACCTATCGATGATCGTTTCACTGGCAAATCTATCTGTGATGGGGTTTTCTTATTGTCCTAGTATTATTGGACTTTATTAGATACACGGCACCCCACGGTGGCCTCTATCGGTAAGCCGTGTGATAAAATTATAAAATTGTAAATTAAAAATGAGGTATACACTCGGTACCTTTTTTTCTCTTTTTTTTCAGTTTTTAAACGACGACTCTGCGGGAACTGCTTTCGCATTGCTTCCGCGGCGTCGCCATCGTTTATTGACATCAAATATTTACACATACGTGAGGGGAGGGGGGGGGGGGTAGACGGGACATGCACTTTCAAAAATTATATATTATAATTATATAATACACTCGGTGCCTATACACGGTTATTATTATTTACACGAAAACATAACTACATAGTACCATTGTACATAATATCCAAAAATATTATTTTCCAGTTATTTGCTGCCAATACGGATCTGGTACATTCTGTACCATTTTCTGTGTGAGTTTAGTACGCCCAGTGCTGTAAAGTTAGGTACACAAAACTTAAATGTCCCACCAAAATTAAATCCTCAGACCACCAAGTAATGAGCAGGGCTGTGAATTTTGAATTGTGAAATTTGCATGTTTGTTTTTTTGCTACATTGTATGACAAAATGGATTTGGCCAAAATTTGTTATGGCTGATTTATAGTTCAAATACGAAATCACATTTTGCATATTTTTACATATTTTACGGGTTAGGGAATACAATTGCATGTTTTCACTCGTTCTCCATACTATTGTTTTTTTTCTTAAAATTGTTTTCTTTATTTGATTTCGAGAACATTTTTCAAGCCATTTATTTATTTTATTTTATCTTACATTTATACCTGGAAGTCACGTTTAGTTTAGTAAAATATTTTTTCTGTTATATTGTATAATTTCGTAAAATACTTTTATTTGTGAAAATGTTGGGGTAAAAAAAAAAATAAGTGGATATTTTTAAAGCATATTTGTACTTTTTAAGCACATAAGTTTATGCATATTTAGTACTTTTTAAGAGCATTAAGTCCCGAGCCCTAGAAATAACCAATGCTCCCCAAACACACCCTCTACGTTCCAACAATAACAACAATAACAGAAATAGTCAAAACACTTAATTCAGAATTTAGATGCTGCCACCTTCAAAACCACAACAACCCCCTTGTTCGTAACCTCATAACAAACTTTATTCTCTGAATTAGACAGGCGTCCACTCTGGTACCAGTGGCCTCGACAACTAATTTAATAAATTCACGCTGAAGTGCTGTCACTGGATGGTTCTACTCCCACTCCTTCAAGAATTTTTATGTAAATAAATAAATGTCATAATTACTATGTCTTATATAGTTATAAGTTATAGGTACCTACCTACTTATTGTACTTACCACAAATGAACAGATTGTAGACATTTCGAAACAAATAAAATAAAAAGTAAGCAAGTAAGTAATAAAAAGTAAGTAGGTAATATAAACCATCAGTAAGTTCTTATATAACATTATATGTTCTTATGTAAATTAATACATACAAGTTTCGTTTAAATACTATAAACGGTCAAAGTATTCAAAACACGTTTACGATTTTCCATTTGAAGCAAATATAAAATATTATCGAAATATCGTTATGTAGAAATATATAGAATAGGTAGATAGCTCGTATCTATTTTTGTGTTTGTGACCCACATAACTTAGGTAGGTATTTACTTTATCATAATTGAACGTTTATGGACAAAATTTCAAAAGAAAGGCTGATGAATGAGGTAGGCGTACATAGAAATGACTGGGTGAAAACAGTTCTATCAGTATTCTATGGACACCTAAAGACCATATTATATTTATGTGTCAATAACTCAATATAGGTACTCTTTTTGCTTTTTTATCAGTAAAAACGATTTTATTTCATTTAAAATATATATACTCATTAATATAAAAATGTATATCATTATCTAGGTCAAATAAGTGCAAATATATCGAATACTGTGGAATGACTTAAGTTTCCCGATTGCGCTCGATGAATTATAGGGAGATGGTAAACTGCTACAAAATTACCCTTTTTCTATAAATCGATATGTAAACTACTGCGGCGACGAAAAATTTAACACAATACAATTTGCGAGAGGATACCGATAAGATACCAAGGACGGATCCAGGGGGTGCCTAGGGGCCCTACCCTCCCCCCCAGACATATTATTTTCTAAATTTTTTTAATACTTTACAGAACCTGCAGATATTACTATGTTTCAAATTACATGTATGTCTGATAATATATTAAATTATTATACGTATCATTATGGGGTGCACAAACTGAGATGGTACTATCACAGATTATATTTATATTAATAAAATAAATTAATATAATCCATAGTACTATCTTAGTTCATGGTGAACAGTGATTCCAATATTGTAATTTTACATTGACAAAAAAATTGTGCCCCCCCCCCCCCAGATCTTTGCTCTGGTTCCGTGCCTGTAAGATACACTGCACAGGCCGTGACAATTTATTTTAGCAAGTAAGTACAGTAGTAAGTAGGTACTAAGTAGTATTATCACAAACAAAGGAACCAATATTTAGTAAGTTTCGGTAAAACTTGAAAATACATTTAAATTGACCTTACCAATTTTTAAGTAACATAACATGATTAACTAAACGATATAACTAGGTACATAATAACACAAAGGTATTACCTATATGATTTAAGTGTATAATACGAGTATATGAGTTACTTACCTATATATGTTATCGTATCGAAATGTATATCTACAGTAATATTAGAAGGCATAAAAATAAACTGTCACAGATAGTATTTCGTTACATTTTTTTTTAGCAGCAGCTTAAAATTTTACGCATCGACTTTTAGAAAAACGGAAATTTTTCCGTTGTGTGTACCTAATACAGCCGAAATATAGCTGTTGTCATTGTAACAATTTACATTCCCAATTTCACAGGATTAGTGCTGATCATTGTTAACTTGGTTAAACATTGTTTTAAAAAACTATTCATAGGTACGTGACATAAAATACTATAAATTGCATTTTTTTTTTAGCAATAATAATATTATTTGTCCGAATAAAATATGTCAAATGTTTCGAATGTCATGTACTAATACAGTCGAACTTGGTTAACGGGAACTTTTTAAAATCGGAATCGTAGATACCTCGAACTTTTGACCTCTACTTCGGGTTAAACAAGTCTTAATGTATTTTCGAATATGCAAAAGAGTCTGCAGACTGTCTCAATCGTGTACTAATCAAAGCTTTACATTTAAATATTATGGAACAACATTGAATGTTAAATACATTTAAACATAGTCAATATATCAATTTAAATATAGTCACCTTTAAAAAGTCCAACAAATGTGGAATAGATAATGTTTGTTTGGGTAGTTTTTTTTCCAGTGGTTCGATGACTTCTGGCTGTGGTAAACTCATACCTCGAAAAAATTCGTTCATTTTGAAAATGTGCATGTGTCTAGCTATTAAGTCACCTGAAAATTCAAATTAAACACTGTTAGCTATAATTGTTCTTATTATGTAAATAGGTATAAGAAAACATTCAAGCGGCTCGGTTAATCCAAAAATGTTGAGCTGTTTTTCAATTGGTAATATTGTAGACAGTATAGTCGTAGGTATAGCACTAATACGAAATTTTAAATTCTGACTTATTTATTAGTACATTATTATATAAGCTATAAAGTACATCGTTTGATAAGTATCTTGTCTTGAGATGTCTTTGAAATTGAAAATAAATGTTTTTTTTTTTAAATTATCTTTCCATCAATTAATAAATTTAAGTATCAAATCAATTTTGTGTTTTAAGGATTTTTTTTCGGTTGTATAAATATCTAATATCTATATAACATTATAGATACATTACATGTGCAATTTAAATTGAAGAAAGTCACAGCTATAAAATAATTTATCATAAACAATGATATTTACATTCAAATTTGATATGATTAATTCATATTACACACTCAAAACATACTAATATCAATCCCATTGATCACCACTTGTTTAAGTGATGAGAATTTTCCAATTTTAAAAACTGCATTACCTACAAATCGGAGAACTTTTCATTGAATATTTTTTTCGTGAATTCATATTTTCTTTAGATTAAAAAGGAGATACAATCGGAGAAGATCATATCATAAACATGTGTTCAAATGTTGGCTACGCGTGCTGCATTGGCCATTAAAATGATCGGCTATTTCATACAAAAACAATTTGTATGGATACTTATTGATAGTATATTTAAGCGGTGGTGAGCAATTTCGGCAGGTTATGGTACACACATTCTTGACGCGTATAAACATCATAAATCATAATATTATGGTCATTAATATTCAAAGTTTGATGTAATAACAGGAATAAATATAAAATATGCATCACAACAAGATAGACCGGAAGCTTCATAATATTATTATTGTGTATATAATTTGTCAGAAAATATAACAATTTTATGTGACAGATTATAATTATGCACTTTAAAATATACGAGCACGAGATACCTACATCAATATGTTAATATTATTTTACACGATGACACGGTGCAGTGGTATGGGACGGAATACTTTTAAACATAGAGTGAGGCGGGTATAGGTAAATTTTTATCAACGACCCGCCCACGCGTCCCCCCCCCCCCCCCCACCCACAAACGACAACAAAACACTGTCATCGATGATGAAATTCAGCTGCGCTGTCGCTGCAATTTGCAATAATATATCACAGAAACGCACACAATGTGCACGAGTATATATACGCCGCACACCCATCCAAACGCCCATCACCACCCTTCACGAAAGCTGAAGGGCAATTGCTTCTGGCGGGAGAGTTTTCCGTGCCGCTGACATGATAAATACATTACATTATTAAACTTTGCAAACTATTATGCGAGATTGTTCTAGCTGGAAAAGCTTTAAATTATAGTCTGAATAATTATGTTCCATTAATAAATTCGATTAAAAAACCCGTGATTGTTACGAGTTATTACGCGATAAAAGTTTGTGCGCTCCAGGCGACGGCGAATTTGCAAAAAAATTAACCGCAACACTTTCCAGTGGATTTCAAATACATTGTTTGGTTCGCTACGAAATTAGACTCCCTATAGCTGAGTACCTACGTATTTAATGGAGTGTTGTTAGGTGCCCATTAATGGCTTTTGTATAATATTGTCAACTTGTCAAGTACAACGAAAACGTGTGCAATTCAGCGGAAGTTGGGAATTAGTTTTTCCGTGTTCCTAGACCCATGCTATTTTAATAACATAATGTATGATTTTACAATGAAACGGGAATTTAAAATAAATTCACTCAAATACCGCCAAAATTTACTCTTGCACATCAGGATAAAAATACGTTTTCAATACTTCAATACTTCTAGCGAAAAAAAAACATTTGATTTATTATGTCTTAGAATGCTTTTGTCATTATAATATTATTCGTGAAATATTTGGAATATTGTCTATACAAGGGAGATTTTTTACGCACGTTCTGCCACACATTTAATGTTTAAATTGTGCATAGTATAATGTTCAAATTCCGAGTTTTGGAATTTTTAAGTGTATAGGTAAAACCAATATTTTGAACACTTAGATGTTGTACCACATTTAAGGAGTTTCCCGTGGCAATACCGACACTAGTTTTTCAAATGAAAACCTATACATCCATCTTATAAAACAAATAGTGAATCAAACGACTTTTCTGAAAATGTTGACGTATTGTAATCTAAATTTGAACAAAAAGTTTTTCTAAGAAATTCCACTTTAAATTATAAGGATAATAGTCTGATAAATATACTTTGAGAATGGATAAGAGCTTGGTAATTATAATTAAGCAGGTATGAAATATAAAATATTTATTTATAATTACTACTTAGTCAAATATACTCGGACAGTTAATTTTAATATCATAATTTGTTTATTTGCAAATTTCAGAACAAAATTAAATAATATTCTTTTATTAGAAAAAATATCCTTAGGTAGTATTTAAAGAATAATAGCCATACATTCGATTTAATTTTTACAAAAACCAGTTGATTGATTCACAATTTGCATGAAGACAAGTGCATTTGACCAAAGTCGGTATAAATTACGACATTTAAAAATTCCAAAAATCAGAATTTGAAATTTGAATATATGCAAATGTAAACTACTAAAATTGGGTCGAGCTTTTTCAAAAATCTCTCCTTATAGGTAGATATGAAAACACTACAAGTGCACAAAAAAGTAAATCAAAAATTTATAGAGAAAAAGGTGTCCACACACATAAACTCCAACCATTAAATCGTACTCGTTAGGTCATACACTGTAATGCATCAGTACGAAGTCTGTGAATACTTAAAAAGTTAAAAAGTCCACACTCGAGTTCTGTATTATAATTTATAATATATTATATCCTATCCATATGTAGCCATTGATCTAGAAAATGTTTTACTGAATCCTTACAGTTTCCTTTACATGATTTTCATTAAAACACAAATTTAAAGGTCCATGCTTGCGTCCACGACGAATAGAAACTCTTTAAATATTTTAAATTATAAACATGCGTCTTAAAAATCACAGTAAACAAAACTTTTTGCAAATATTAGTTTTTTTTTAAAATAAAATTTCCATGAATGAAAATTAAGTTATTTTACCTAACGTAGATCTTATTAAGTACAATTGGTCAACATCGGATTTTCCCGGCCACAGAGCTTCTCCTCTAATGAGCTCCGCGCCCACGCAACCTGTGAACAAATAACAAATCCTTATACCTATATATTTTAAAAACCAACAAAACGTTTCACTGATTTTTATAAATATTTATTATGTTATTTATTTACTATGCGAAGTGCTTAGGAATAAAATAATATTGGCTTAACTTTAATTTTACATAATTAATCAGCATTGATTTATTATGAAAATGCGTAGTCATAATAGTATAGATGGGTACCATGTAGGCATGCGTAGACTCTAAAAGCACATTTATAATATATTATTATCATCTGTATTTCAGTCAATACTTTTATGAATACTTACAACATATCTAAATTTTATGAAAATGTTTTCCGTTGTAAAGTTTTGAATTTCCGCCATTATATGTATATATATATTATGTATTATATACACTATTAAATATGCACAATATTAAGCTGCAGAGAGCACATAGTGTACTATTCGATTTTTTTCAAATTCACTATAAAAATATTGCCTAAAACTGAATTTGGAAATTTAGATTTATTTAATATTTAATATTCATAACAAATAATATGTGGGTATAATGATTGAGGCAAAGGATACTTCGGCCTTGTGCGCAAGCCTGCAATAGATAGGTACAACATGAATTTAGTGAGTTTACAAAAATAACAGTCACGTCTTCGAATAGACACAAATTTTATAAAAATAAACCAACAAAAAGTGATCAGATTTATTTGTTAAATCCGGACAAAAGGACACTGCTTGGGGAGCCATTGCCCCATTGCCACTTGTTTGGGGGTATCAAATTGTAAACATGTGTTGTAGGCTTTTTTATGGGTGAGAAAAATTACTACTTTACAAAAAACAGGGGAGAAGAAGAAAGGATTAAAAAAATACGTTCCCAGGGCAGCAAAATCTTAAATACACCACTGCGCATGTCTGTATACTGTGTACCAGATACAACCTATGTAGTAGGTACCGTTCAAAATATATTTATATTAATATTATCATCGAACTTTTTTTCATAAAAATAAAATATTTTCGTTAAACAGATACGTGTGTGAGTTTGACTAAAATCAAACTAAAGCATGTCTACACCGGACACCTGTCTGTAATGGACACTTTTTATGGTCCCGTGATTGTCTGTTATGTACAGGTTTATTGTAACTATATGAACATTCTTACTGCTATTAATTTTGCTGATTGTCTCTAAAAGTATACTAACATTTTTGAAAAAAAAAAGTGTTTACTAGGTAGTCATATCGTTAAAATTTTGTAAGTATTTTGCTTTTTAATTATAACATGTATTTTAATTTTATATTCCAAATCAGAACAGGTTCAAAGCCTTTTAATACATAGAAATCGAATTTTGAAAGGGAAATTCATTTGTTAATCGAGGGAGGCTTCAGATTTTGAGGCAATACATTAGGTGACAGAGTACTTAAAATATAATAAAAGCCGAAAAATGGGATTTTATATTGTAGGTATGATATAAAGCAAATAAATTACTTTTATTATAATTATAATAATAGTAATATGTTCCCACCAATTAATAATATTGTGTTGTAAGACAAAAACGTTTAACCATTTTCTTTTTTTTTTGTATTAAAGAAGAAAGCCTTGATGCCGTGACCATTAGTTTGTTTTACATTATATGGTACTTAGATAATAGTTGTACAATCCAATAGAATTTTTCTATTGATCGTTTGGATTTAAAGTATTCTTGCAATAAAAAATAAACTTTTGAAGTTCAGGTTCTGGAAATATACGAATGTTTCACAAATAAATATGTGAAGATAAAACATAATACTTTCAATGGTTTTAACTTCCGATTTTTGTACAACTTAACATATTGTGGCTATGGGAAGTTCAAAATGTCCTACTCTTATTAAACATATTGATTACTTACCAATCAATATTTGAATACATATATAGTATTGGAATAATTAGATGAATTAATTAGTAACCCGGTCTTGTAGTTAAGAAACCCTATATGTTGGACTGCAATTCGATGTTGAAAATGTTATCAACAACATCGTTTTTAAAGCATCGATCGTCTAATAAATATACATAGGTACTCAATGAACGGGTCAAGTGTACCTTCTGTCGATATATCGAAAGAGATTATTGTGTCGTTTTCAGCTCTGACCTTTACTTTCACTCTCATACTGAAACTATATGTTGCGGAAATTTGAAGGCGCTTGGCCTCGTCGTACGGATTTCAAAGGACCATACACGGAAAAAAATAAAAACTAAATAATTTTAGTCAGAAATACTTTAGTTAGAACGTATTTTAGTTGCATTTACTACATTTTTACCAAATACATTAGTAAATGCAACGAACTATAATCAGTTGAAATTTTTTATTTTTTTTAACTAAAAAATATAGTCAAAGTTACGTTACCCGATAAAAGTGGTCAATACAACCTTAAAATATATAGGTAACGATTGTTTATTAATATAAATATAGTATCGTTATTATTAATTACTGTGATATTTCCCAATGCCTTGGCGTGTGTGTGTGTGTGTGTGTGTGTGTGTGTGTGTGTGTGTGTGTGTTATTGCTACTTCGATCCACGCGATGCCTGATCAGAGTAGCATCATTGCGCGTCTAAGTACTGTTGACAATTTTTTCGAGCATTCAGTGATTTAAATCGTTTTCACTGCTTAGTGCAACTGCGATACCTATTTGTTGGCAAGTAACATCACCTATATACAACGGACGAATTTATAGAAAATATTCTAAAAGCACTGTTATTTGAGGACATGCTACCTATTTTTGAAGGTAATGTACAATTATAATTATTAATATTATTTACAAGAGATTTGTAACTCGTGGTACCTAGATAAAAACTAAATATAATATATCTTCCTCATCAAAAACTATGTATCCGCTCACTTGTCCGTTCACTGTTGGGGTACCTGTGCAGTGTGCACGCATCCTGCGGGACCCTTATAAGATTACAGACTCTTGTAAACATAAAACTGGTTCAGAGGAGTTTTTTTTTATCTTCCGCAGCTTTCATTCACTATCCTCCTCGTGTCTATATCCCTTAATCACCCGGGAACTTTACCTTATCTTATTGACGGACAGAAGAGTAACGTTACCTTTGAGTTCTTGCGAAACCTGTGGATGGTCGTGTTGGCCTCTCTCCTCCCATCGGTGAACTTTAAAGTTCCTTCTAGTTCCCCATTAGATATCGTGTTCCTCACGTTGTTCCTGCCCACACTAATAATTGCGGTAGAAATAATCCTTTAGACCGTACGATACGGTTGACTAACGAGAGGAGCGTCAGTGCATCAATACTGATGAAATTAGTTACCCTATTACTATAGGTTACTAATTATTATTATGTTCTATTATATTTTCATAATCTATGTAATGATTGTAATGCGATGTATTCTATATTCATTTAAACACTATTGTACGGATTTATTTGCCGTATTGTATTAATTAATTGTGATTTCAATATTAAATTGTTATAAAGAGCTGCTGCCCGTTAGTAAATAATTATAATTATACAGCATCTACAAATTGTTTAGGTAGTATAAATAGTAGCAGTAAGAACTTACCGATTGCCCAAACATCAACGGAAGGACCATATAATGTATCACCGACTAATAATTCAGGAGATCTATACCATCTAGTAGCCACATAGTCAGTATAATTTTCTCCTGGATCTATAAAACAATTTTATTTATTAAAATAAGAAGTGTAATTAATAATATTGACATATTGTGTCATACTAAATATTAGTTAAGTGATAAATAGTTAATTAAAATAAGTAGTTATGTTTTATATAACATACAAAAGAAATTTGACAAAGTTCTAGTAATTTTGCATATCAAATTTGTCTTATTCAAATGACATTTTTATATATTATACAACTATAGGTATATAAAATATCAATATATATGACTTATAATATTAATATTTTCTCATTGTGAAAAATATAAACGACCCAAGAGTTTAAATATTTAATAAATATAAAAATCATTCCATTTTAATCTACATAATATTTTACTAACTATATTTTGCACTTATATTTGTGAAACAAAAATGTTATGCATTTCTAGCACTATGTAATCAAAATGTTAAATAATAATTGACTGTTAATAAACGATCAAATCAAATGATTTATTTTAATAGTTGAAAATGTATAATAATGTAACATAATTGTATTTTACTGACTCATGAGTCTCGCAAATCCAAAGTCGCAAAGTTTTACCACCCCTTGGGAAGTGAGTAATATATTTTCCGGTTTTATGTCTCTGTGTATGCAATTGTGTCGATGGCAGTACGCAACGGCTTGTAATGTCTGCCAAATGATTTGCTTGGTAAATATTTCTGGACAGCCATACGGATGTCTTTCGAGCTCGTGGAGTACTGTGTGCTCACAAAACTCAAACACCAAATGAAGTTTTCGTTTGCGCCGGAACACCTCGAGCAAGTTCACCAGATTTGGATGTTTCAGCGTCTGGAATATTCACATCATTTTTCTGTCAATGCAATATGCTTTTAAGTTTTATACACTATAAACTGCATTGCTGGATTCGCGGTGCATAATTATATACGTGGTGAACGTATATTACAAAGAATTAATGGTGTATTAAAAATTAATTTCAATGTATAAAATTATCAGATCCGTTTGATACACCTGTTATGTACCTATTATAGGAATAGTAAATACCCAATCAATATCAATTCGTAAGGTTACAATGTTTCAGAAAAATTAACATATTGTATTATAAAATCTAGTAGTAATATAAATAAACGACAGTATAATTTAAAATATAATATTGTATTATTCATAAACAATATACTGGGGGATAAAATAATATCGTTAAATTACCTAGTTGATGCTATTAATTTTAATTAATTATTCTCTGTTACAATGTCTTGTATAGATTAAAGAGCTAGACAACTACCAAAGTAATAACACAATTAGGGATTACCATTTATTGCTCAAGTGTTGAGGGTTATTTCTATTACAAACTCATTACACTGCAGGTATGTGTATACTATAGGTGTATTATGTGTTTTGTCATAAATTGTCGAAAATCATTTTTACATGGTCCAAGAGAAATATGTATAAACAAAATGTAAACAATAGAGGAACTTAAGTTTTAAATTTCCCTGATAAAAATATATTACCTAGGTGGGTTTAACTGTGGTTTTGTGCTAGAAATAATTTTAATTTTTCACTCCACGACTACTCTGAAGTATAAAAGTATTTGACTTAAACTCACCTTCAGCATGCGTATTTCACGTAGAGCAATTTTTCGAATCAACGGATCGTCCTCGGATTCGACAAATTTTTTTATGGCTACTATGTGACCATTCTCTCGATTTCGACACTTAAAAACCATACCATAACTCCCTTCACCCAATTTGCCTAGACGCTCGTAGCGTTCCATTAATTTCAACTTGGAGCTGGATCCATGTCTGAAACGTGAACGATTCGTATAGGTATTTGATTGAAAACACTAGAAATCATTTATTTTAAATGACGACCGATTGAAAACGTTCATCATTCTATCATTTGAAAAACAAAACAATCAAATAGGTAATTTGTTTTAAAAAAAACTTTAAAACTAACTCACCTTAATTTTTATTTATTATATTGTTGAAAATGAATAACCAGTGTCAATTTGTATTTCATTAATTAGGTTAATTTTTGATTATTGTCGAATAAGTGTTCAATTCATATAATATTTTAAAAGAAAGAATAGCATTCATAATTTAAATTTTATTGTATGTAATTTTAAAGAAATGTATCTATTTACAATTTGATACATGTACAATACACATTATACTCTTCGGAGGGGAACTATAATTTTCAAAATTGAATAAGAATTAGAATTGCAAATGCTAGTTTGATTTGATTTGAATATATTTATATTTGTCAGTAGTGGAATGTGGAAAATTCAAAATATACATTCAAATGAGACAAAAACCTAAATGCAACATAAATTAAAAACTTAGCTGGCTCAGTAAATAGCAATATAATTGTGTTATTTAAAAATATAATATATAAATATTATATGAAATCGATATAAATTACCAAATAAATTATTATAAAATAAAATAAAATAATTAAGTGAAAACCTTGATCATGCTTAAAGTAGTTATGTAGTTTTAAAATGTATGTATTTTCAACCTAAATTAAATTATTGATAGTAAAATACATACATTATTATACGTTATTAACTTTCTAAAAATTATTAAAAAACTTACGCAAAACGGAATAAAACTAAAAGTTAGATAATGTATACATTTAAATAATTGCAGAGGCATGTTAAAATTAATGTAGATAATTTTTTATTTTGGTAATTACTTATGAATAGTAAAATAGATCTTAAAAATTATATATTACACAATTTAGTAGAAATTGTAGAATCTGCAGCTATTTTTAATTGATTTATTTAGTTGTAGCCTAGGTGAGCCTATTTGGTGAACTTTAATTAATCAAATGTCCTCAACACAAATCGAGAAAATTAAAATGTAAATATATAGGTATGCCTACTACAAGTTTTTTGGCTCGACAAGATATTATGTCCTTGAAAAAAATAATCCTTATTATAAAAAATATTATCTCTAAATTAGGTATAAAAATAAAATAATACGTAGGAACGAGTTTTCTTATAACCCAATGTACAGTAATTAAGAATAAAATATTCATAGAATCAATTGATTTAGTGTTAACATGATATTGTACATCGGATGAATTACGAATTATTTACTATAAATTATAATATATTATATAAATATGTACGTCGGTGTGTAAAATACTGAACGTAAGACTGTCGTTGCACATCTATCGCATTCTACCTACCATACACAAACTGAGCTACGCGAAATATATTTTATAATGAGCGATTGCCCAACAGACATTACGCTTTTGTACATTACCTATACACGGACGATTCGAAAATGCGTTCATTCGTCTACTTTGTTCGTAAAAATATTGAAAAAAAGATTTTACCTTCGCGGAAGCAGCGGCAAGTTGTTTCCATACAGCCACAGACTTTTATCGGGCAAACATTCGCCCATATATAAGTAAAAATTACGACTCCAACAGCAACAGCAACTTCACAACAAAAGGCTGAATCAATATTATTGATCGCTAGGTCACTGCGGTTTTGTTATTATTTCGGTAAAGTAGTTGTTACGTTGAATAAATTATTAGCAGGTACACATAATCAATTACTGAAATGCTAACCGTGTATTGTATACAGTACAGTTTTAATTTACATTTATGTGATAAGTGTACCTGCCTGTATCTATACGAACGATAATATTAATGTTGTGTTAAATGAAATCAAAAATAATGTTCGCACTGTTAATTAATTTACACTATATACATTATACACTATTAAAAATATTCAAGGATTTCAATAACAATATTGCAATATTATATTGTATATAAGACATTTATGCATGTATATTATGTTATACATTTTATAATATAATATATAATTCAATATAACATTATACTGTTCACTGTTGTTATCGTGTTGACATGTATCTAAATGTTTAATAATAATTTATTGTAATTTATCACATGATGTATATCGTGTTTAAATTATGCACATATATGTACAGTATTTTACCTATACGGGATGGGTTAAATACACAATATGCATTATAATTTAAGATAATAAAACGTAAGATAGACGCCAAAACTCTCATCAGCATAAACGGACTAAATTAAAGCCCTGTCTTGACGCCTCAGACTAGAAAATTATCATTTCAAAATTCGTGGCGAATCTCAACGAAATTGTACACCATCATATGCTCACTTATGTGAGGCATTAATTCGTGAACACATCGATAAAAGTCGAGCATAAATCCATAATTATTTTTCATGGGCGTCAGAAGTTAAGATTTATCAAAATTACGAAACTGGCAAAGTTATTGATTCGAGTTAGGAATTCATAAAAATGTTTCTACTTGTATATTTTAAGGTTTGTAAATTTAAAACGAGATTTTCCTCAAGTTTTTCCACATTTAACAACAACACAAAGCTTACCCGAAAGTCAAATTCATTTTTTACGAGCGTTTGAAATGTATTCGACGCATGTATATATACATTACCTATATTTACCCGCAAATTAACGAATTTCCATCAAATTTTCATTTTATTATTTTCTATACACGGCGACAACATTTTCAAAACATTTTGACTCGTTTTGAGTGATTTATAAACGTTTGAAATAACGTTTTTTTTTTTAGTTTTTCATTCTATAAATGTCAACACAATTTTAATCATCTGACCAAACAGCTTGGAAACCGAATACAATGTTCCTTATAAGTTGTTATAATAGCGTTTAATAAATATTAAAGTTCAATGAATACGATTATTTTTCTGTGTTTTGTAGATGTCTCAAAATGTCCCCAAATGTAATTTGCTAAGAGAAGGAGAATTCTCATCTGAAAACAATAAGTTTAAATCGTTTAAAATTGTATAATTTCCAGAATAAAATCTCCTACAAATCTAAAATACATTGTCGACAATATTTTACTTATTAATTTGCGAATCGGGTACGGGACATTTCCGTATCTAATTTTTAGGAGTGGCAGTCGCCACCTACCCCTATAGTTTGCGCCTCTATGTACGTGCAGGCTATGAGTTTAGGAAAATTAATTCTATTAACTACGTACATACCAATATATACTATCTACACCATTAACTGTATGCGGTATATGACCAATTAATAGGTAGTTGGTATGGTGATAAGGTACACCATTGAAAAACTCAAGTTGGTTCTCTGGGATAACCAACACTCGACATACAACACTCGACTTCATAATAGTATATTACAGTGAAACCTCTCTTAACGGACAACTCTAATTAGCGGACACTTCTCAATAACGGACAACATTTCCGGTCCCGGCATAGTCCCGTTGAAAATAATGGATAATGCTCCTCTGAATAACGGACGTGGACAGGTTTAGGTAGTCAGAAGTGTTTAAATATATCTAAATAACGGACAGCAATCCAAAAAAAAAAACGAACTTATTGTGTATATAATACAATATGTACTATGAAAATATTATTATTCATGATATTATGATGCAGTTTCATTGTCAATAGTTAACCGACTCCAGTCAAATTTTGAGGAGATTGCAACACAAGAAAAAAAACAAACTATAATTTCAGATTTTTTTTTCAATAAGCAGTTTTGTCTACTTAATATATTTTGTTACGTCTAAGACTTATCTGATACGCTCCGCGAGTATTATTTTTTACAAGTCATATTATATAGTATAGGAAATAAAAGATAAAACGTACACCTAATAATCTCTAAGTCGAGTAGAACTGATCCGTTGTAATTTAAACTGTTTTAGTACCATCTACCAAGTACCAACCCTTAGATAGATACGGTAAATATAACCTATAAATATATATCTAAAAATTATAACCTACATAAATTTATAGTATTACAACCATCTCTAGATATCTTATATTTAGACCGGGCATTCGGAATTCAAAACATCTACTCCGAAGATCCGAATAATTCGGAATCGCTTGTTTTAATTGATTACCTACTACAAGTTTTAAATATTTTACCCCTTTTAAAACTTAGAATATTAAACATTTAGAATTGAATTTCAACTTAATAAAAACTTACCTTACCTTAGGCTTGTATTTTCTAGTTTAAAAATCAAAGAGTTGTCGAATAAGTGTGTACCATTATATTACATAGTATACAACTATATATAGTTAAATAAATGAAGTAATTGTACCTACTCATAGAGGACACCGCTGAAAATTATACGCAACTATATTTTTACCGATTTTGTATTTTTAACTAAAAATATTGATACCATAGTTTGCTAATATACATAACATTTTCAGTGGAACAAAACGCTGTTATTTTAATAAAAAATTTAAAATCAGGTACGAAATATTGCAAATTACAATACTACAATATTGGTGTATATCGTGTATAAATGTGAAGTATTATTTAGAGAGTTATAGTGCTTATGCATTATCATATTTTTCGTTCATCGTTCCCGCAATTGTTAATAATATCATATCTATCTGTTTAGTAAGTACAATTTTTTTTAATTATTATTATTCCAACATTTTCCAACGTTTTGTCCGAACATTAGTATATGGATGGTAATAGTTTGAACGTGTATAGTAACTTACTTCAACACGTATAATTGATTTGAACTGTGTAAAAATGTTGTACGGTATTAATAAATGATAAATTGTCATAACATATTTAGTAATTTGCATTCATTCAATCTTAAATATTGGTTTTAATTGATAAAAGGGGGCGATTAATCCGTTTAGCACAATATAATAAGACTTATTGACTAGTATAGAATAAGTGTCTTATAATATGTGTCTCATATTTTTTATCATAAAATTTACTCCATTTTTAATAATTAAAAAATATGTAGATATCAATTGAGTTTATTATTTCAATTTATTAAAATTTAATAAAAAAAAAACAACAAAACCGAAGAGTCGTTCTGTTATATCTACAGTTTATATATAGGTTTCGAGAGTACCGCTTCTTTGAGTGTAGATCCTTGTAATCAAGGATGAGAAATTGGGAAATAATTTAGTACCTACCTATCCGCGAATCGCTGACTACTAAATAGGTACCTATACTTGTTTTTGGACTAGGAGTATCGTCTATCTTGATTCTAGAATCTAAAGGTACTCAATACTCGATGGTTGGTAGTTTAAAATAAAATAAATTGTAATAATCAAATACATTTCACTATATTATAGGTATCTAACATACGTCTATGCTCTATATATTTAAAATATTATGCGTACCTACTAAAATTGTATTAATCAGAAAATCTAATTTAATGATTTAAGTAGCCAAACAGTGAAGCCTACAAATCACTAGTGACTAGTAAGTTATAATGTAATAAACACAAAAACCAAAAAATTAAATCAAATTTTGATAATAGCCAAAAAGTCTATAATATACAACCTACCTAATACTACCAATAAGTAACGACATAAAGTTGAGTCTGCTGAACACAAATTTGCTTTGTTGCGCATTGGTCAAACGTTAGAGACAGAGAGACTAGAGAGAACAATTACTAGTGCACCGACAATATCCTAACGTTATTCACTTTTTAATTCACTACTTAAAGGCCCTATTTCGGAACCTCGGAGCCCGGTTCTAATTTGTTGGTGAGGCCCCTTAACCTAAGTTATAAATGCAGTTTTCTTATATTCAATTTATTCTCAAGATTAAAAATGCATTGCATCATAACTAATACTATTTAATGTTAATAGGTATAAATAAAACGTATGTACACTAATATATGTAGGCCCACGAATACTGTCGTGGTACTTGCAGGTACAGGATATACTCTAAAGTTGATTCATTTATAAGTTCACTGATAAATATTAATAACAATTAATTAGCAACTAGCTATAAATCGGAATTTTATTAAAAACAAAAATCGTGTATGGAGAGCGAACCGTTGCGTACAGCACGGGTTGGAGAGTTCAACATGTCGTGGTCGACAGATTGCGCTGCCGTTAAAGAATTTATTTCAAATCAAATTGTACAATTTTGCTGCCAATACCGATTAAATTTTAAAAAAATATATAAAAGAAATCTTTGATCATTTTTTTGAAACGTTGTGACTATTGTGGTTCTCGGGTTGAGGTTTTTTTAGAATATTATTTTTTGAGTCTGTGTGTACGATGAGTGACCGAAATAATGCTTCGATTTTCAATTTCAGTAATTTTTTAGTTCAACATTTTTCAAAAGCGTCGGGAAAAACAAAAAAAAATCGATAGTTTTCACGCATACTCAAAAACGAATAACCGTAGATACTCGAAATTCACTTTCTCGCCGAATGTTTAACTACATTTTCATTTTCTAAACACGATAAAATTATTAAAATGTTGTGACTCTGTTATTTGTAGGGATAAGAAATTTTCAATTGTTATTAGTTTTTTAAAATTATCGTCGATAAAATATTTTTTGCTCATTTAAAAATTTGAAAATGTAAAGAAGGTTTCTTATAGGTAGTTCCTACTGTAATCAAAATATCTAAAAACTATAAGAATAATATTATAAACACT